AACTTTGAACCCCACTGCCTGGGAGAGGCAGCGGCATTTCTATTCAGGCAGCATTGAGGGCATCACTTGACTTCATGGCTCTTTATTATCTCCCCAATTCCTGCTAATCTCTCTCCACTCGACAGGTGTGAACGACCCTTTTTTCTTTTTAATGGTCTTGCTATTCCACTATTCAGGCTATGCTCTCTTCTGCAGTGTTGCCGTCTGTCACTCGTCCCTGGTCACGTCTCTCTGCTATTTCACAGCCCTGCAGACTGTTTTTAGCTCTAGCTAAAAACCTTCACTCAGGTGTAGCCATATGAATTCAAGTGTAGAAATGACTGACAATAAAGAATTGGAGGCACAGTCAAGATGCTCAACAAGACTAGGATTTATCTGACTAATGTGAATAAGAGATGTGCATTTAACTTTAGTGACTACAGAACTAATGCAACATTAGTTTGTGACTATTTTGACCATTTTTTCCCTTAATTTCTGGGTTTTTAAAATTTAATATATAATCTAGCTGGGGCTGGTCCTGCTTGGAGCAGGGGGTTGGATTAGATGTGACCTCCTGAGGTCCCTTCCAGCCCTCGTTGTCTGTGATTTGATAATCCAGTGTTAAAAGCACTCTGCCCTGCTATAGTCTTCCTCAGTTCTTTGCAGAAGAAGAATTGCTCTTTTCTGTAGTTTTTTTTGTAGTCAAAATAAAGTGGGAACTAAGAGCTGGCATGTTGCAAGGGGCTACTTGAATTTAGCCAGGGGTGGCTCGAGTCTAGTCAGGTGTGTCTTGAGTCCTCAAAGGTTGAGAGCCACTGTCTTAGGAATTACAGCCAACCGACTGACAACGGTGTTGCCCCCCGGCTGCCCATGCAATGCCAGAGAGATGCACCTTGCAGGCCACAGCTACGGGCCGCAGGGTCCACTGAGATGGTGCCGGTAACTTAGCTGCATGCAGGATACCAGGATGGAGCACAAGCCGGGAGGGAGATGCCTGCCAGAGCAATGCAATCAGACCAATCCTCCGGCCCCTGGATGGGGGTTAATAGTCTGGGTCCTGCCTCCCTGGCCTGCCTGTCGCAGCCCTCCCGGAGCATGTTTCCAATTAAGACAGCAAGCTGATCCACCCCCCTGAGCGAGCGCTCGCTGATGGACGGGTTCCAGCTGTCTGTGCCGGAGAGCCAGGGGAGGGGGGTGCTGATGGCTAAGGTTGGGCTGGCCTGCAGCCAGCAGCCCCCAAGCCCCCCACGCTTGGGCTGGCCCTGAGCCCAGACTGCAGAGCTCACTGCCAGATCTGAACAGCGTCCATGGAGCTGGGGATGTTGGCTTAGCTGGTTGGAGAGGGAACCTCATGCCGAACCGAGCTCTGCAGGGTGGGACAGGGGGAGCTTACAGCCTGGGCCCCTGCTTGACCCCAGCCCCGGCGTCTGCAAACCCAATGGGGGACCCAAAGATGCACCCAGGAAGGACCAGCACCCTGCTCCATGCAACAGGATGCTCCTCCCGAGCGGCTCATCCCATCTGGGTGGGCCGATGCCATTTCCCTTTTTGGCTTGGTACCTCTTTTTCCTGGCTTCACCCAGGGACAGGGATGGGGCGGGGGCACCCTCGAAGACCTGGAGACTGTGACCACTCTCCAAAGTGAGACTGAAATCTGGATGCTTCACAGATCCAGGATTTTGAAAATCCTGGTGGTGTGACGCATCATCTCATACACCACACCACACATATTTTTTTTCCAGTTAAAGAGAAACCAGAAGCTTTACTAATACGCCAGAGGGCTGGTGCTATAGTCTTCAGTTTAAGATCAAAGCAAAAAGAAGTACATTGTTCTGTGGCATGTGCACTGATTTGCTACGGTACATATAAAGTTTAAAGCTGCACAACAAACTAGGCAAAAAAGAGTGAAAATAGTCCAAAGATAGTGTGCCATTAGCCCACTATTGGTGCAGGGGGACAAGAGCCCACCAGGCCTGGGCACTTTCTCCCCCAAAAAGCACTGAGACCTACTCATGAGCAGACCTAGGATTTTGGAAAGGGGGGTGCCGGTGGCGAGGCACCTCATCCTGTATAGCACAACGCACATTTTTTCTCCAGTTAAAGAGAAAACTAGAAGCTTTACTACTAGGCCAGGCGCCTGGCGTTATCTTATTTAGATTAAGATCAAAGAGAAAATAACCAGAACTACTGGACTGTGCACAAATTTGCTAAAGTATCCATTTAAGGTTAAAAAAACACAACAAACTAAGCAAGGGAGAGTAAAAACAGACCAAAGATATTTTGTCATAGTCCTGTCATCATTATAGTTAAATATCTGTCTCTTATTCAGATTCATAAAACAAAATCTCGTCTTCTTGAGCATCTTGATAATGCATCTAATGCTTCACTCTCAGTCATTTCTACACTTGAGTTCATATGACTACACTTGAGTGAAGGTTTTTAGCTAAAGATAAAAACAGCCTTTAGGGCTGGGAAAGAGAAGAGGGGTGTTACCAGGAATGGCTAAGAGATAGCAGCATTGCAGAAGAGAGGATAGCTGGAATAAGAGAACATCAAGACCATTAAAAAAGGAGAGAGGGTTGTTCACCCCTGTGGAGGGCAGAGATTAGCAGGAGTCAGGTAAATGACGGTCAGCCACAAAATCAGCATGAATTCCCTCACTGCTGCCTGAATAGAATTGCCCCTACCTCTCCCGTGCAAATGGCTTTAAAGTTTGGGTGAAGTAGGGATCAAACGAGGGTGCCTTCTCCTATAGGGCCAGGAGAAGCAGTACTGCCCAGTGGTAGAACAGCCCTGAGATATCTCCCAAGCTCAGTTTGTGCCCCCGGGATAGGCGTCGCTCCCTCTCTGTGCCTCAGCTTTCCTCGGTGCGTACCTCAGTGGCCAGGCTTAGCTCGTTAATTAAAGCTGTCAGAAGAGGCCGCAGGTTCCTATGCTATGATCCCGTCCCCACGTACGGGGCTGGATGCAGAGGCCCCTGGGAGGGGATAAACCACCAACACCAGCTGGAAGAGGCGTGGGGCTCTGGGCACCCCTGGGGCTGCCTGGCACAGCTGCGTGCAAGGGGCAGGGAGAGCAGCTGTGTTTGGGGCGAGTGTTGCATCTCCGGGTGTCCAACCCCCATAACAAGGCTGCCTGTGATCGCAGGGGACAGGGCTCAATGGCTCCGCTGGTCCCGTGCTCCATCTTTAGCGCCCCATTTGAATGCCTCGCAATCCCTAACCGACAGCACCCTGCAAAGCAGAGAAGTGGGGGAGCGGACTTAGCAACGGTCCGGAGAAAGGCAGCCAGGAGGGTCAGGGGTCTGGAGCAGCTGCCAGGCCAGGAAAGGCTGAAAAGGCTCAGACTCTTCTATTTGCAGAGGAGAAGGCAAAGGTCTGGCCCTGCTGTTGCTCTTATAACCATGTCCACACCACGGTGAGTCCTGGCAGGGATCCTGCAAGTGTGCCCAGCTTGCCTTGTTCACCAGCTCAGTGCTGAGCGTCATGCCCATGGGGCAAGCAGCAGCCTGCCTGGCTCTGGCCCCCCTGGGGCGGCTCAACAGAGCTCCTTCGGCATCAGATTTTATCCTTCTCCAAGCACCACGCTTGATCCCCCGCACAGGGCCACTTCCAAGTGATTGTTACCCGACACGACACGGCTTCCTTCCACTGCTAAGTGGGTTTCGCTGTCTCCGATGCTGGGGCATTAATATTGGATTCCCAACAAAAAAGGGAAGACCCTGGGGACTCTTTAACTGGGGTCGAGGAGAACGGGGCCAAGAGGGAAGGAGCCAGCAACGGATTAAGGAACATTTTCATAAACAGCTGCCTCCAGACACCGCAAAACGGCTGTGTTTGGAGTGGCCCCTCTCCAAGCCAAATGTATTGCGAAGTGTTGCAAAGAGTTATGGTAAATACTATGATTGCAGAGCTAAATAATAAATAATGCTGGCTGGGAGGGAGAGGAATGACAAGGGAAAGGGGAGAAGGGGCTGCAGGAGGTTTGTAACGGAGATTCGCCTGCAAGAGGGAGGGTTGACAAGAGGTCTGGAGGCCGCGTGGAGGTTTGGGCTCCAAGAGGAAGGGAGGTGGTGGAGGGGCTGCAGAGGAGGAGGGAACGGAGAGAAGATGGACCTGCAAGGTGGAGCCAGGGCTCTTGGGAGACCAGGGTGGGGGTACTACCTCCCATCCACTCTCAGCATCATCAGCTGCCTACCGGTCGCATTTCCTGCCCGTCCTTGATGCGATGGACGGGTTTTCGTGACTAGGGAGCACTGGAGCAAGCGTCGCTCAGAGCAAAGGGGCTTATCTCCCTTTGCACCTAGGAAGATAACAACCTACTATGCTCTAGCAGAGCGGGGCAGCACTTTTCACTGCAAGTCTTTAGCACGGGACGTGGGTGGCTCCCCTGCTTTCCTTGGGGCAGTGTTGGGTGTGATGTCTGCACTGTGTTGGGTGACTGGCAAAGTTTCCTCCAGAGGAGACCTTATAGGATCGGAGACAGGTCAAGAGGCAGCCTCATTTTCCCAAAGCCCAGAGAAACACCCCGAGCCCAGGCCACAGTGGAGCAGGTGTCGGTCTCTTCTGGCTCAGGCTGGCCCAGGGGCTCTCCTGGAAACTTCTGATACAAACAAGCTGGCATTTTCCAGTGGGAAACCATTTCCCTGGAAAACTAGCAGGCAGCTGTGCTCCTGGGGCACACCCAGAGCAGAGCACAGATCTGGGACATTAGCAGGGGGCTGTGGGCAGGGGTGCGGAGGGGGGAGACTACAGCAAAATCCCTGCCTTTCTGAGCCAGCAACATCCCTGAGTCCTCAATACAGGGGGCTGGAAAAGCTGGTGTGACGCGAGTATCCCATTGCCAAGTAGACAGACTGGAAACCCTTCACCGCTTGTAGCATGCCTTCGACTTTTCCCTGCTCCGGCAACCGTGCACCACGTGCTGAAACCATTGCCTCGGGATGCCTAGCCACCTTGCAGCTCCGATCGATGGGGTTACCACGCGTGGGGGTCTGCCTCTCTTCCTATCACGAAGAAACTCCTTGGCCTCTTATACCCCGGGGCTACGCAGGCCGCGTGACGACATTGCATCGCCGTGTACCAGCTACGTACCACGTAGCCGCCACGTGGGGTCCTACGTTCTCTTCTTTCTCTACAGAGCCACGGAAATAACTCTGATTTTTCATATTCACTCATCAAATTTCAAATCATCACGCTGGATACACTTGGATGCTTATCTTGGTGGGATCATTTGACCCCCGCTGACTTCCTGCCCCCGTGGCAGGGGGCTGGACCCGATGATCTTGCGAGGTCCCTTCCAGCCCTAATGTCTATGAAATCTATGGAGGTTAAGAAGATCTCTCTGCTCTTCAGTTCCCTTATTTCCATCCTATTTATTCATCTTTGCCATCGTGCCTGCCATTATTCCTGTAGGAGACCAGGACCCTAGGTATTATTTAAACACAGACCAAAGCCCCCACCCCAGATACCAATCTGAGCATCAGACAGGGAACAAGAGATGGGTACAGGAGAGGACTAATGCTTGCCCCCATCCAGATGCTATATGGCTCTCGCTGCTACACTGAGTATGAGAACATCTGGCCCGCCGAAACCTTACCTACACGCAGACTCTGCATGCCGGGGTCCAGCAGCGTCGACATCTTTGCATCACCTTCCGGGCTGTAAATGAAGAACACACTGATAAACCCGGGGTCCCCAAGTGCATCGGGTACTGAGATGCCCTTGAAAAGCACCTGCCAGTCTGTCCCTCATAGCAGATAACAACTCGCCACACCTGCCAGCGGGTGGACTCGCTCCTTCAGAGCTCTGTGCTTTGGAGGTGAAAGTCCCATGCTCCAAGCTGATGGGAGCATGGAGGCTGTTGCATTGGCATTAGCCATTGAGGGTTAATCCACGATTCTCCAAAAGGGTGGAAAATGTCTGGTGGATGGCATGGGAAATCCTGGCACCCTCTGGGTTTGGCCTGGGGCGGTCTCTGGTTCTGGAGTGCAAGGGCTCTTAGGACTTGCCTATGCTGGCAGAATTGCAATAGTAGAGTTGCAATAGCTGGAAGAGTTGCAATATTAAAAACAACAGAGCTGCAAGCTCAACCAATGGCCCAATCTATGCTCAGAGGTGGTGGCGGCGGTGTTTATCCTGTCTTGTAAGTCGTGAGTTCAAGACCCGCTCCAGAGGTTATCCCAGGTATAAATGGGGCTGGACACTTGCACTGGGGAATCAAAGGCACGCGGATGGGATGGTGACCCCGCTGCTCTGGTGAGTGCTGTTGGCCACAGAAAGCCACGTGCCTTATCTGTGCTGGCCTCAGTTGCTCTCTGCGTTAGTGGGTAGCTCTGCTTATGCCTCCATCACCCTCCTCGGTGGACATGGCCCTTGCGACCGACAGAGGGAACAAGCCAAACCCTCTCACCCCGGTGTCAAAGGGCTTGGGGTACAAAGGGGTGTGCTGCCCCTGCAGCTTCCTCCCAAAAAGGGGCTGGACCTGTTCTTGGAGGAAAGGGACCTCAGTAGCTATTAAGCCCAGGAGCTAGGGCTGCAGCCTCTGCACTAGGGGATGTTCCTAAATGCCGGCTCTGGGTCTGTGTCAGGATTTCCAGCGGGCGCGAGCTGTTCAGGAGGCTGCTGCTTTGAGACCCTGGTTTCCTAAAGGACCAGCAGCTTGCACAAACACTTTCAACCTGGCAAACGTCCTGCATAGCATCAGAGCCCGGCCTCAGCTGACAGCAGGAGGTTTCCTGTAAAACCTGGGATGGATTCCTCCATCCCCTCTTGGCTAGTGCAGCGATGCTCAACCAAGGGTGCTGTGAGATGCTTTGAAGGGTGCCGCACGGTGCTGTTCAATACAAGCTCTGCTTGATGTGCAGACACCTACCAAGAGACACCCAGAGATGTCTAACATTATTTTCCCATAGTCAAGAAATGAGTTAAAGCAAAGAGCTGGCGTTGGAGATGGGGGAGCTTGAGTCTATTAAGGGGGTTCTTGAATCTAGAGGTTTAAGACCGCCGGGCTAGTGGTTTCAACGTGCCGGACAAGAGCAAAGGAGGGAATGGACCAGAACAGGATACGACCATGACACGAGGAGTAGGGAATTGCTTAGGGCTAAATTGGGAACATCTCAGTGAGGGAGAAAAGCTTTTGTTTCTAGGAAGACAAGGTTCCTTGGGTGAATCTGATATCTTTTATTAGATCAACCCAAATAGTTGGAAAATTAGAGCCAAGCAAAGGAGTGTCTGTCCGGCCAGGAGGAGGTTGGGATTGTCCGTGCATGGATACAACCCCGGACATTTTCCAGATAAAAGACCTGGGAGTTTGGTGAGAGAAATCCCACTGCTTTGAGCTGGCGTGCTTGGTTTTCTAAACCAAAAAAAGCCCTGTTTGTCCTCAGAAATAGTGTTTCAGCTGCAGAACGTGATCACGTGGTGGGGTGACTGGTAGCAAATGCCGCTTGCACTTCGTGGCCCACTATATGGACCGGCTCATGCCCTTCGTGTGCCTGGCTCACAGCCAGGCTCATGGCTCTGTGCAAGCCACAGCACCAAAATGCTGCTGCCTTGAGCTCGGCATGGGTTAATCCCCCAGTAGCCCAGGTGCTGGGAGCAGATAAGGAAAAGGGACCCATGCCCGCACCCCAGTGCTGCTCCGTCGCTGCCCCAGGAGAGAAGAGCCTGTGCTAAAAAAAGGCAGGTGCCCAGCCCTTTCCTAAGCAGATGCATTTCCGCTTCATCCAGCTGCCTTGTAAATACACCCAGGGACGCTGTCGAAGTGGGCCAGGCCAGCAGCTCAGGGCAGCAAAACACCAGCAGGCAAATCTGGGAAGGCCAAACGGGAATTTCCAGCAGGCCGTGGGTGGATGCTGAGCTTCCCAGCAAGCCTTAAGTCTTCCCCGGGGAGACAACAGTTCCCAGAAGTTGCTTGAGTCCCTTCTTGGCTGGGCACATCCACAGCAGCCTGTTGTGACCCCACGGCTGTGTTTCCTGGCAGCCACATCCACAGAGGGGGTGCACAGCAATGGGCTGCGGACGGCTGCCCTCCCACCCATGTCTGCTCTTTTGGGATGGACAAGCTCCCAGGGGGCAGGGGGATCACGCCTGCCTGTGCCACTTGCAGAAGGGGCCAACAGAGAGGAGACCAGGGCAGCTGGACATGTCTGGGGGGCTTGTCTAGTCCCACCCCTACCTGTTTGTTACTCCACACCACTGCTGGACACGGGGGGCAGGTCTATTCAGGTCCCTGTCCTGTGGGATAAGCCCCACCCGTGAAAACAAGCCCCACCCACAAAAATAAGCCCCACCCACTTGCTGCCTCTGGATACACCAGTTTTACTTTAATGTGCTGAAAAGACTTTTAAAATGTCAGGAAATCCCGCTCGTGCAAACAGACATGCAGTTGCAGCGCATGAAAGGGCAAATATCGTGGTGTGCACATGTACCCCCAAAGACCAGCAAACAGCTGGTAGACAGGTCATCCACTCAGGGCTGCCAGCACGATCTGCTCCCCTTCTTCACTGGTCTCTGCGGCATCTCACTGGGGCTTCTTTTGGTATCAGCAGACCCAGGTTGGGAGGAAAACTACATAGATGTGATCCACTGCCCAAGATAAGTGCTCTCTGAGCTCACCCATAGCCCCAAAGACAGCTGCTGCTGGACCAGCCTTCAGGCTCCAGGGCTCAGTGTTCCCATTTGCTACAGATTTATAGTCTTTCGTGATCCAAGAAACCTGTAATTCCTATATAAACACCTCCTCGGGCAGGGGCTGGTACTTAATCTTGTGCTTTGTGGCACAGTGCGGGCTGCTAAGGAAGCTGCAAGCTCCCTTGTAGGGCGGGGTAGAAAGAGGAAGGCAGCGGGGCTGCTTCTCCATTCATAGAGATGTGGGGTTGGAAGGGACCTGCAGAGGTCACGTCTGATCCAACCCCTGCCTGAGGCAGGATCAGCCCTGTCCAAACCAGCCCAGAATCTAAACTCTTTGTAAAACAGCCATCCACCCTGACACAACACAAGATATCGCTCGAACCTGCCGTGGGGAAAACAGGGGGTCCACGGCAGCCAACGTCCTGCTGCTGCAAAGGGTGTTAATACACAGTCAAGAGACCCCAGGTAGAGGATGTGCCCCTGTTGCAGAGGAAGGCACCCCCCCACACCCCCGGCCATGCCACAGTCACAAAATCCTAGACCATGAGGGTTGGAAGGGAGCTCAGGAGGTCACATCTAGTCCAACCCCTGGCTCAAAGCAGGACCAGCCCCAACTACATCATCCCAGCCAAGGTTTTGTCTAGCTGGGTCCTAAAACCCCTCAAGGATGGAGAGTCTCCACCACCTCTCTGGATAACCTGCTCCAGTGCTTCATCACCCTCCTTGCCAGAGATTTTCCTAATATCCAGCCTCAACATCCCTTGCTGCAGCTTGAGCCCATTGCTCCTTCTGTCATCTGCCCCCACTGAGACCAGCCCAGCTCTATCCTCTTTGCAGCCCCCCTGCAGGGAGGTGAAGGCTGCTATTCAATCCCCCTCGGTCTTCCCTTCTGCAGACTCAATCAGCCCATTTCCATCAGCCTCTCCTCACCAGTCCTGTCCCCCAGCCCCACAACCATTTTGGTTGCCCTCCGCTGGACTCTCTCCCGTGTGTCCACATCCTGTCCCACAAGTGGACACCGGACTCCAGATGAAGCCTCCCCAGTGCCGAATAGAGGGGAAGAATCACTTCCCTAAGTCCATGTCCTGGCATCCGTTACAACCCCCTGGGGAGGAGGATGGACAGGAACTGAGACCTGCTTCTGCAGAGCAGTTGTGGGGCACCAGTATGGCTGGACCCACCCATGAGGTCTCGGGACTGAAGAGAGAGAGGTTGCTTGGAGCTGGCCTGTTTCTGAGGGATAGTGGAGAGTTTCTCCCCATCCCACACTGAGTTCTTTCCTGGGGAAATGGCCTTGCCCAGCCATCCCTGGAGAGCCACGACCCCACACCCAACCCACCCATGCACGTCACAAATGCAACTGCAGCCACGCACATGCACATTGCCTTCTCCTGCGCTGTCACGGGACACAGGCCAGCCGCAGCCCCCGCCACGCACATGGCCTGCACATGCATGCATGAGGCCCCTGATGCATGGGCCTGTCTCATCACTGCCTGCTCCCCCAAAGTCCATGGGCAGACCCCCACAAGAGCCCCGGCACCCTGCCCAGGCTCCTCTCTACCTTGTCTGTAAGGGAGGAGACTTCCAAGGTGCGCTGGGCAGCCTGAGCCCTTGGGTGTTGCCTCTCCCTGGAGATTTAACCCAAGTTCTTCCTTAGTTGCGATCCCCTGCTCCTTGCCCCCCGGTTTTGACCCAGGTGCTGCTGGGCTGGTAAATCTGCTGCCTTGCAGTGAGGATAACAGCTGAGCCCCTGAGCTTATCCCACAACTCCCTCCAAGACAGAGCTGAACAAGCCAGGAAAACCCCAGCCCCGGCTGTTTTGGATCAGGCAGCGTCTCCTGGGGCTTCCCAGCCTCTCTGCTTCCCGGGAGGAGGAAACAAGTCAGCTGTGGCATCCATCAGAGTTCCCCAGAAGCCAGCCCCCTGCTCCTCTCCCTGCCGTCCATCACCGAGCAGCCGGGACAGTTCTTTCACTTATCTGCACCTCAGTGGTCCCATCAGTGAAATGGGCGCAGCCGCAGACACTCACAGGTTTCACTAGGCACGACTCACTAGTGTGCAGTAGCTGCTCGCTGATGCCATGCTGTGCAAACCGAGGAAGAAGGGACCCCAGAGTCACCTCTTCCGGACCTCCAGCCCCCCATGGAGAGGTAGAGCGTGCCGCTCCTACAGACACCGCCCAGGAATCTCCAGGGATGGAGCTTGCCCAGCTCCTGGAGGCCCCAAAAGTTTGCCAGACAAGAGTGCAAGAGAGTGCAGCCCTGTGCCTCTGTCTGGAAGGCTTCATGCCCATCCAGGAGACACATCCAGCCCCGACTTTCCAGGTGAAATCCATAAGGGAGCTGGGGCTTTCCTCCGCCCTTTGCTGCACAACGGAGCTGGGCCGCAGCGCCTGGAGCTGACCATGTTCATGGCTCTCCCTCGGGAGGGCTCAGAGTCGTCATCCCCCAGACTCAGAGAGGGCAGGGAGTCCCCTGACACAGAGCCCAGGGGTGCTGCATATTCCCTCCCACCCCTAGGAAAATAAACCAGGGGTCCGGCCCCCCCAGTTTGTGCTCTCTCCACATCCCCTCGGACCCCGGGAACACAACCCAGGTGTCCTAGCCTCAGGTTGTGCTTTGTGCACATGCCTCCCAGAGCGGGGAGGAGACCCCGGGCACACACCACCCTCCGCCCCATCCCTTCTCCAAGCCCCACTCTGGGAAGAGCCGGCTCCATCCCACCATGCAGCAAAACAGCCCCATCCATCCCCTCCCCGGTGCCCGGGGAGTATTGCTCCAGGCGGGGGTGTCACAAAGAGTCCACCGCCTGCTCACCTCCGCCCAGGCGCTTGTCCCGAAGCAGCTGCAGCAGGGCTGCGAGGGATCCAGCTGTGCTACCTGGAGATCCAGCTGTGCACTTTGTTCTCCGGTTCCTTCCTCGACGCCTTCAGGCTGCCCCGCTCTCCTAGCTCCGAGGGGTCTGGTCTGGGCCTCCCGACGCCCTGCTCCGCCTGCTTGCAGACTGCCTTTCTTTATGGTTTCCTCTGGCTTCCCCCAGCGCTTTCCGCCCACCCCCTCGGCCCAGCCCAGCCCGGCCCAGCCCAGGCAGTGTTTCAAATTGCAATCCCAGATGCAGATGTGAGCGAGGGGAGGAGGCGGCAGGGCCAGCCCGGGCGCAGGGAGTGAAAGCTAAACGCCCTGCTTGGCTCCTGACAGCTATCCCGTAGCCCCGCCGGCAGCAGGCCACGGCGCTGAGCTTCCCTCTGCTGGGCTTTGCTCCCCCCCGGGCTAGGCCTGGGGAGAGAGCACATGGGGACAAGCAGCTCCCACATCGTCGGACAGCACAGAGATGCATGATGCAGATGGGGAGAGACAAGGATGCCAAGAGCCAAAAGCAGGGTGGGACGGATCTGTGTATCCAGCCATCCCTACGTGCACCCACTGTCTGCCTGTCTGTTTGTCCAACCGTCCCCAGATACACCCGCTATCTATCCATCTGAGCATCCCTCCGTCCCTCTGTGACCATACTCATCCCCATACTCACCCTCGATCTATCCATCCGCTTATGCACCCACTCTCCATCCGTCTGTCTGTCTGTCCATCTCCCATCACACCCACTATTTGCCTATCTATCCATCCATCCATCCATCTCTCCCTCCCGGTGCTCAATCCTTCACTATTTATCTAGTCATCCACCTGTCCCCATGATCACGCTCTATTTAGGATTTAGGATCGCAGACAATGAGAGTTGGAAGGGTAGATAAAACCGTGGCTGGGACGATGGAGTTGGGGCCGGTCCTGCTTGGAGCAGGGGGTTGGACTAGATGGGACCTCCCACCGACTCGTACCTCACCTGTTGAGCACATAAATGTGATCCTAGTCCACCCTGCTCCACTCCTTGAAAAACTGGCAGTACAAAAGATGGGCAGGTCTTCCCCCTCCTTGCTGCTTTTCTGGGACTCAGTCTTCAGGGCTGGGTGAGGGTGCGCAACTAGATGCACAACTAGATTTTCAGGCTGGAATAAAGTTGCTACCAGGCACCTCAGTCCATTTGGACACCCAACGGTTGATCCTTCACTAACTCATGGGAGATGATAAACAGTGTGTGCGTGGGCCAGGAAGGGCTTTACAAGTGAAGACAAGGAGTCTGCACCCACGTGATGGATGAGGAGCAAGAGGAGGTGGATGTGGCCAAAGCAAGGAGCCTTTGGCAGTAACACAGGCAGGGAACAAGCTTGTTTCCCAGGGCCAAACCAGGAGGCACTGAATGACCAAGTATCATCTCCCAACCCAACTACAAATAGAGTGAGGCAAAAGCCTATTGATTGAGGCCCCTGGACTCAACACAGCACACATTGTGGGGGTCAGGAGCTGACTTCAGGTCTCAAATGCAACTGCAAACAGGGAATCCGTGACCCCATGTGCTTGCACCGATGCACTCTCAGGCCTAGGCTGTTTAATGCTTTAATCAGGCACCTGGAAGAAAATGCACAAGCATCACTGACAAAGTCTGCAGGGGACAGAGAGATGAAAGGGTGGACTAGCATGTCTTAGTGTCAGGCTGGGGACTGACTGGGGACCAGGGTTACCAGGTTCGAAGACTGTAGTAATAGAGTCGGGGTCGCAGAGCAGAGCAGAGAATGCAAGTCAAGGTCAAGGATGGGGCATGTAGGGTCCAGAGAAGTTAGATCAAGGATGAGGCACGTAGGGTCCAGAGAAGATAGATCAAGGATGGGGCATGTAGGGTCCAGAGAAGTTAGGTCAAGGATGGGGCATGTAGGGTCCAGAGAAGATAGGTTAAGGATGGGGCATGTAGGGTCCAGAGAAGTTAGGTCAAGGATGGGGCATGTAGGGTCCAGAGAAGATAGGTCAAGGATGGGGCATGTAGGGTCCAGAGAGCCAAGGTCACAGGTGGGCACATAGAGACCAGCACCTTGCAAAAGCACCATCAAGAATCACAAAGAGGGTTGTCTCCCCTGCCCTTATATAGGGGAAAGATTTGGTCAGGTGGTCTTCACCAGCCAACTATGTCCTAGAGAGGGGGTGGAGCCTTGCATGCTAATGAGGAGCTTAGGCAGGTCCTACCCATGCATTGATAGCTACCCTGGGAGTGGCAGGCATGGCGAAGCTCCTGCTTTGGTAACCCACAGCCCTGGTTTGAGGTTGTTGTCTTGACCCTTCTCAGAAAAAAGGCTTAAGGAGCTTGCTAAAAACAAGGGCAATACTGGCTTGATCACAGTGTATAACGATGCGATGGAGAGCCTGTCACATCTGGAGATGATGGTATTGCAAGCTCTAGCAGCTGGATCTTGATGCTATGCAAAGCAAAGTCAGTAATGATGAGGCACTTGCTTTTAACACAGAGATCAATTCATCACTGGTGAGGCTACCAAAGGGCAGCAATAGATACTCCATCATTGCACATCTTAAAATCCTGACTGGAGGTTGTTCTGATTGCTGTCTTCTAGTTCAGAGGAGTACGAATGAAGGGAAGATGTATGGTTTGAGTTGTGCAAGAGGGGAGACGAGATGATCTTCGCTGTCCCTTCTGACCTGACAGTCCTGAGTCTACAAAGTACGAGGTGCTGGGAGCCCAGATGAAAGCGTTATGGGTGCAGCTGGAGAGGGAAGGCTGGATCTTAGCAACAATATGCTGGCAAGACTGGCGAGACTTAGGCACAGCCCAGCTGGAGGACTTGGAGAGGGTTGAGCCGGCAGCTCTTGGCAGGGTGGG